CCCTTTCACAGGAGTCGCCTAAGACATAACAGTAGCAAAATTACAGTTATGAAGTAGCAACAAAAATAGTTTTATGTTTGGGGGTCACCACAACATGAGGGACTGTATTAAAGGGTCGCAGCATTAGGAAGGTTGAGAACCACCGTGTTAGAGGGAGTATGGCCTCACTAGCACCTTGATTTTGGATGTTTAGCCTCAGAACTGTGAAAAAATACATTTTTGTTGTCTTAAGCCACTCATTTTGTGGTACTTTACTATGGTAGCTCCAGGAAACTCATGCATCCTCCAGTATGAAAGCAAAATCCCTCACCTGGGCTCCCTCAGAACGTGGCATCTGTGAACCCTCCAGCCTCATACCAGTGTCCAGCTGGGCTCTCACACTGCATTCCCTACCATGCCAGGGTCTTCTTTGCCCCAGTGCTGTTGCACAACCTGTTCCTTCTGCCTAGAGCACTGCTTCCTGCTTTTAGATATTCTGTTAAGTTTGCAACTACAGCAGAATAAAAATGTATAAACAAACAAAATCCATAGCCACTTAGCTGATGCACCAGTCAGACGTCTAATCCTGCACCTGCCTCTCCTTAGTTATGAGACCCTGGTCAAGCCCTTTACCCAGGTTCTCGGTTTCCCCACTTAATCTTTCTTCAGTCCCTCAACCTGCTTCTGCTGGCCTTGGGGCCTTTACATGTGTTACTCTCTCTGCTTGGAATGCTCAGCTTCTATCTGGTCAGACCCCACCCAGGAACTCTCCAAGGGCCAAGAACCCACCTGCAATTTCACACTGGGTTGTAAGGCTAAAGGGGACAGCCTGTCTCTGCCCCAGACTGTCAGTGCCTCATGAAGGCAGCTGTCTTGTTCTCCACGTGTCCCCAGCATTTCATCCAGGGTCTAGCATTCAGTCGGTGAGATCATTAGAATGAATTAATGGAGAAAACGAGGCAGTGAGATAGATAATCCCCAGGCTGCCCTCAGCTCAGGCTCCATAGGAATCTGCAGAAGGGCAGGAAGTGAAGAAAGAGACGCCAAGATAATGGCAGCAGGAGGGGGCTGTGGGCACAGGGCAAGGGCTCCGACACCCACTGAGAAGCTTGAAGATGCCCAGGAAAGGGCTCACTGAGATGGAAGGAATAGAACTGTGGGTTGTCTGGCACCAGACAGAGGTGCTTATGTTGAAATGCAGCTGGACGCGGCATCAAGGAGCTGCACTCATTTCTTCCAGAATGAGGAAGACAGACGCCTTGGCAAAGACACACTCACGACCCAGGGCTGCACAGGGAGGCCACTATTTTGCAAACACTGAACTACTGAAAAGGGAGCAGCTGGGGGAAACTCACTTGAAATTCACATTTGCAGCTGCAATCTGCTCCATTTTTATCTCCACAACACTTGGAAGAGGGGCTGTCTTTTAAAATTGGGGTGGGGGCAGGAAAAGGTATTGGAATGAATAAGATACAAGCTAATAGGAACAATACTGCAGGTGACAATGACTTTGGGCAGTCTTCATCATTTATTTAAAAAAAATTTTTTTTTATTGTTTAGAGAGACAGGAAGGGAGAGGGGGAGAGACAGATGGAAACATCGATGAGCGAATAACGATTGGCCGCCTCCTGCATGCCCCCCACCGGGAATTTGGCCCACAACATGGGCACGTGCTCTGACTGGGAATTGAACCGGTGACCGCTCGGTGCATTGGCCAGCGCCAACCACTGAGCCACACCAACCAGGCACAGACTTCATTTAGATATCCCATCTTAGCCATCTAGCTCTACACACCTCATTGAATTCTCACAACTTCCTGAGCCAGGGATGAGTGCCCCTATTTTATAGGTAGGAAAACCGAGGCACAAAGATGCTCTGAGAGTTGCCCAAGGTGGCCGAGCAAGCCTGCTGGGGTTTGAATCAGAAGGTCCTCAAAGTCCAGACCCAGGAGTGCTTTGGTCTCAGCAGAGGCCAGAGATGCTAAGACTGTCTGACGACCCCTTGGAACCCCAGGCATTTGGTGCTAGAAGGAACCTACTGAAATCACTCCACGTGATTCCATCTTTTACATGGGAGGAAACAGAGCCCCTTACACCATGAGGAAGTGACTGCTCTCAAAGCCAGTTCTTGTCCACTTTAGAGCATTTTTAACTACATCAGAACTTCCTTGCTAGAAAACAATCCTTAATTTGCCCAAACTGCCAAGTCTGGGTGTCATGAGACCCCTTAGCCAGGCATTAGCACTCTGTATCTCATAGAGTTGAAGAGAAGGATTTATAGGAGGGAATGTGGACAGGAAAGGACATTCCAAAGGGGAAAGGAGAGGAAGTCAGTCCCAGGGCAGTGGCCATCCTTTCCCAAAATACTTGTATTCCTGGAGACAAACTCCTGCAGACAACAGTCCTGGGCAGACAAGAGATTCTCAGCTCTTCTGAGAACCGGCACCTCTCGCTATAAAGAACCACACATGCCTATGCAAAATGTGGACTGAAAATGATTAGCTTCGGGAGAGGACTAAATTCAAATTCAAATTCAAATGCAGGTGACGCCCTCACGTCACAGCTTCTACTTGGACACAGCTGACAGGGAGCTCAGGACCTCTTCCACAAGCCCAGTTAGTTTTTGAGCAGGACCGGTTGTTAAAAGCATTTATCAGACCATTTGAGCCCACATATTCTATACTGGACTCAAACCTGCATCCTTTTCATGGTTGTGCATCCGCCTAGTTTCTGCCCACAACGCCCTCACCAACCGAGATTTCTGGAGCTGGAGATCTCTTCAAAGTCTCTTTCCAGGTTGAACATGTTCAGTCTCTTTGGCTATTCCTTCCCAGATGGTTATGTAACAAACTCTTGGTCATCATCTCCTGGGGGTAGTTTTTGCATTAAAGGGGGAGGGAGATGAGTGGTTGTATCCAACCAATGCTTAGGGGAGCCTGTGCAGAAGATACTTTCTTTTATGAAAGCGACGCCTTGATGGAGGAGAAAAGAGAAGGAGCGGGGGGCAGGGAGAGAGAGGCCTGGTGGCTTATGCATGTCAGCAATGGATGCTCAGGGCTTTCTTTCTACTTGTTTTTATTCCTTCCGGCGACTGTCTTTCATTCACCCACTCTACTGAGCACTGACTATGCCAGGCTCTGTCCTCATGCTGGCATATAGCAGTGGTCAAATCAGAGGCCCCTGCTTTCATGGGGTTCCCTTTGGGGAGGAAATAGACCTTAAACAAGATAAACATATAAAATATTTAGCGTAGCCAATAATGAGTCTCCTATGGCTGCTGTAACAAATTACCAAAAACGTAGTGTGGCTTAAACCAACACAAATGTATTCTATTATGATTCTAGAGGCCAGAAGTAAGTACCAAATCAGTTTCCCTGGGTTAATGGCAATGTGTGAGCAGGGCTAGCTTCTTCTGGAGGCTCCAGGGGAGAATCCGTTTCCAGCTTTCCAGCCCGAGGCACTTGCATCCGTTGGTCCATGGCCCCTTCCTCCCCTGACTCCCATCTGTTACTTCCACCATCATAGCTCCTACTTCTGTAGTCAGACCTCCTCTGCCTCCCTCTTATAAGGATCCCTGTGATGACACTGAGGACTCACCTGGATAATCCAGGATCATCTCCTCATTTTAAGATCCTTAACTTGCCCTGGTCGGTTTGGCTCAGCGGTTAGAGCGTCGGCCTGCAGTCCAGAGAGACCTGGGTTCGGTTCCCGCTAAGGGCGCATACCTTGGTTGCAGCTTGTCCCCGGCCCTGGTTGGTCGTGTGGGTGGCAGCCACTCGATGTGTCCCTTTCACGTCGATGTTTCTCTCTCTCTTTCCCTTTCTTCCTCTCTCTCCCTCCCACTCTGTCTGAACAAAAAATGGAAAAATGTCCTCCGGTGAGGATAAAAAAAAAAAAAATAATAATAATAATAATAATCAAAAAAGATCCTTAACTTAATCACATTTGCAAAGTGCCTTTTGCCATTAGGAAACATTTTCAGGTTCCAGTGGTTAGGGTGTGGGTATCTTTGGGTGCCATTAATCAGGAACTTGGGAGGTTGTAATAAAGGGGCCAGGAGGTCCTCTCTGAGCAAGTGGCCTGTGGAAAGAGACCTGAAGGAGGTGAGGGAGGCATGGGTGTCTGGGAAAGAGTGTTCCAGGCAGAGGGAATAGCCAGTGCAAAGTCTGAAAGTCAGAGGCAGCTGGGGTTGGAGGGGCAGGAAGAGGACAGAGAGTGATGGGAATAAGCTCAAAGAAGCAATGGAGACTGAACCCCAGATTCTCTGTGGGACAGGCATTTGCCCCAGGAGTTTAAGCAAGGGTATGACACAGTCCCTCTGGCTGCTGCAGGTAAAAATAGACTATAGCCCTGTCCGGTTTGGCTAGCGGTTGGAGCGTTGGCCTGCGGACCAGAGAGTCCTGGGTTTGGTTCCCATTAGGGGCACGTACCAAAAAAAAAAAAAAAAAAGACTATAATCTGATTCATGGGAACCTAGGTAAGACTACTATAATAGTCCATGAGATAGATTTATAAGAATGTTTAGAATTTAAATTTTTTAAAAAAATTTTAAATTAGTTAATTATTATTATTTTTTTAATTCTCATCTGAGAATATTTTTCCATTGATTTTTTTTTTTTTTTTTTTTAGATAGAGTAGGAGGGAGGGAGGGAGAGAGACAGAGAAACACCGATTTGAGAGAGACACATTGATTGGTTGCCTCCCACACAACCCTGACTGGGGCGGGGATCAGGGATAGATGTATGTGCCCTTGACCAGGAATCAAACCCGAGACTCTTTGGTCCATGGGCTGACACCAACCGCCAAGGCAAACTGGCCAGGTCATATTTAGAATTCTTAAAATAGTGTGGAAATGGGAGCTTTTTTGTGGCAAGGGGTGGAGTGGAAATAAATCTTAAATAATGCAGCAAATATTCATTATGGGTCTGGCCTGGTCAACTGGTAGTGTCTCCTGCACCCCACCTTGGAGAATTGCCAGGCCCACTCCCTCTGCGGCTGACATGAAGATCTGGGGAGCTATACCTGGGAAGACCTTCATCCTGCCATTCATCCTTCACATCCACGTTTTCCATCCGGAGTGTGGCTTCTGTTGTCCCCATGGGATCTGAGACGAGGCACTGCTGGAAGCAGAGCAGGGATGAGTTCTGAAGGAGAGCCATGGATGGAGGTTTTACTGAACAATCATCATAATAACAACCCATCACCCATGTTCAGTATTTCAGATCCAGCTACTAAGAGCTTTTGCATCCATTGTTTTATTGAATCATTGTCCAGCCCCATGAGGCTTCTCATTTCATAGGTGAGAAAACAGAAGCAAAGAGAGCTAAGAACACCCATGTGGATTTGGAGTGTGAACCCAAGTGAGAGGCTGAGGCTCCAGCTACAAGTTCCCCTCCCTCTAATGCTCTGAAATCCACCTTCCCCAGGCCTCATCACCCCTTCATTATCTTAGACTCCAACTGGGAAGCCATAAAGCAATTAGACTCATTTATACTAAAGTGTTGATGACTGACACACTTAACTTTCCTTGCTGGGATTGACACTTTCAAACAGGACCTGGTCAACCCCAGTTCATTTCTATTTGCTCCAGGTCACCTACCCTGCCCCTTTGTCTCCCCTCCCCCAAAGAAACAAATCCTGACAACTTGCTGACCTGAGGGCTGATAGAGGCAGACTGGGGTTGGAAGTCAGGATCATAATTATTACCAACCAAAAAAAGCCAGCTTTGTTTTTACTGTTCTAGGAGCTGACTGGGGGCAGGGATGGGGTGGACACAGCATTCTAGATGATGGCTTAAGTGCTGGGCTGTCTGGGAGCAGAGTCTGCTGCTGAGTGAGACTGAATCTGGGTGTACCCCGGGGCATGGCACACTCTCAGGTCATTAACCTCTCCAGGCCTCAGTTTCCCCATCTGTAAATGAAAGAGTTGTGCTACAAATAATCTCTATGATACCTTTTAGGCATAACATTCTAGAATCTTATGACCACAGGTTCTGTCCTCTTATTTTATTTTGCTATTATTTTTAAATATGTTTTTATTGATTTTTTTAGAGAGAGAGGAAGGGTGAGAGATAGAAACATAGATGTGAGAGAGAAACATCAATCGACTGCATCCTACATGCCCCCCACTGGGATAGCACCCACAACCTGGGCATGTGCCCTGACTGGGAATCGAACTGGGACCTCTAAGTCCATGGGACAATGCTCAATCCACTAAGCCACACTGGCTGGGCAGCTTCTGTGCTCTTAAACTAGTGGTTCTTGCCCTGGCCTGTTTTTCTCAGTGGTTAGTGTTGGACCAAGGACCAAAGGGTATCAGGTTCGATTCCCAGTCAAGGGCACATACTTGGGTTTCAGGTTTGATCCCTGGGATCCTGCGAGAGGCAACCAATCCATGTGTCTCTCTCACATAAATGTTTCTCTCTCTCTTTATCTCCCTTCCACTCTAAAAATCAATGGAAAAATATCCTCCGGTGAGGAGTAACAAAAACAACAAAATTATATATATACCAGTGGTTCTCCATTGGAGATTCTGATCCCCCCACCCCCGCCCACCAAGGGACTTGTGGCAATGTTTGGAGGCATTCTGGGTTGTCACAGTTGTGGTTGAAAAGAACTGGGGATGATTCCCAACATTCGACAGTGTCCAGGATATTATGATCTGGCCCCAAATGTCTATAGATCTGAGACTAAGAAACCCTGTTTTAATCCGCAGGTTTGTGAAAGAACTTCAGGCATGGGTTTGGCTGTCATTATAGAGAGCCTACTGTGTCATTGCACCCCATCCTCCCATCCTCCAAACAGCTCCTGTGTTGTTATCCTCACGTGCTAGAATCTGAGATCCCCCACCTCCAGCCAGCCCTTCACCTTCCCTGATGCCCAGCTGCCCTTCTGTAGAGCTGGTGCATGGCTAACAGTTCAGATGTGACATCCAAAGCCCTCCTTAGCCCTGGCCGGTTTTGCTCAGCGGTTGGAGCATCGGCCTGTGGACCAGAGAGTCCCAGGTTCTGTTCCCGATAGGGGCACGTACCAAAAAACAAAACAAAACAAAATAAGCCCTCCCTGAACTGGACCACTGTCCCTAGAAAGGGTGGGTCTGCATTTGGGATCGTGGCTCAGAGAGGGAGTACCCAGAAGGAGCCTGAGACAGGTGAGGGCCAGGCAGGCAGGGAGGAGATGGCTACAATTAGAACCTCTTCCCTACTTCTGCAAGAGTTTCTCACTCAATTCTTTTCACTGTCCTCAATGTCGTCATTCATTCATGGAGGAGGGACAGTGAGACGCAGTACGCAGAAAAAAAAAAAAAAAAAAAAAAAACTCTTCCTGACAGTACAGACAACCACCACCACCCAGAACCTTACTGCAAGTGAAAATTCATTTCCTATCTGAAGGGAGTGGTCTTTTGCGTTGGTTTTCCTTATACTGAGCTGGGTGTGACCTCAGCCCCCAGGAAGGATCCATCCATCCACACATACCTACAGACCATGAAGCCACACAAGTCGCCCCAAGATCCTCTAAATGTGGTGTGGGTACCCCACCCCCCACGTCCTGTCCACTCCCACTCTCCCATCCTGACTTCACATTTAAGAATGGCAGGTAAGGCAAAAGCTGGGATAGCTGAGAAGTGTTCCTTAGCGCTGTGGTGCTGAATTATTAGCACATCACGTTCAAGTTCAGAGAAAGAAGGAGGAATCTGCGTTCAACCATCTCCCTTCCTCCCACCCCACAGGCAAGCCTTTATGTACACATCTCTCAAATCCTTTTTCCAGATCGCTCCCGGTGTTATAAATAGGAAAGGCACAGGGGTGGGGGACATGGACATTTTAGTCTCTTAGGAAGCGTCTCAGAGAGGGGCTGAGGGTTTTATCCGCCTAATCTCCACACACGTCCCGAAAATTGTGCGATTCTTTCCCTCCAGGTGAGCGGTGGGCACGGCAGGGGGAGTGTAGGTGTGAATGCGGACGTGGAGAAATGGATGGGTTCCCACCCAAAGAGTCAGGACCGTGCTTCTCCTCTCCCACCAGCCCATCAGCCAGAAGGGGCTCTGCAGCAGCAGATGCCTGGGGCACCCCTCCTGGGCAGGGTCGGGGGAAAGGAAGCTGGACTCACCTCCGCGGTGAGTGCTGTTATCTCCGAGGCCTCTCCTGGTTATGCGCAGACAAAGGCGAGCCCTGCGCGGCTGCAGCCCGGCATCCCTGGTCTTCCCAGCCCAGTCCCTGGGCTTTCAGAGCGTGTGAGGAAGATGCGCGCAGGGGCGGACTCTGCATCCAAGCAAGGTCACCCAGGGCAACGTGGCCTACGCAGAGGGGCGCTTTTGTCCAGGGGTGGGAGCGGCTTGCAGCTAGCTGTCGGCTCCCTCTCGCTCGGCGGCAGCTGCGTCCCCTGTCATCGTCGCAGCTTATGCCTCTAAGGTATTTTCTTCTTTCCAGCTCGCAGCTGCCCAAGGCTCGGCTTCCTTAAGATGGTTAATTACGCTGCTTTTGAGTGCGGGGTGGGCCGGTGGGGGCAGGGCTGAGCAAAAAGCACAGCCCCCTGCCAGAATCCGGGGCTCTCCATTGGCTGGGAGGGAACATTTCCAAGAGCCTCACCGGTGGCAGAAGCGGAAATGATTTTTCTGATGGCGCATCACAGATTTAAAAACAAAACAAGGAATAAATAAATAAATAAATAAATAGATAAATAAATGGTTGCAATGGCCTCATTCCTTAGATAGGAGAAAAGGAGGGAGGAAAGATACCTTCAGGATCCCATTTAATGTCCCTCGGCCGGCCACTCCCTATTGATTGGGCCGTGTCTCAAGGCCGGGGATGTGTGCTGGAGAGACAAAATCTTGTCAGGCACATTTACTCGGGGCCACCGAGGGAAAGGTGCTCCTCACGTTGTGTACTGCGGTGACCTAGCCCTGGAGGACTTCAGGAGGACAGTACAATGGTGTGGAGTTAACAGTGAAGCCTCTAAAATCAGACCAGAAGTGAGTTTGAACCCCGGATCAGCCTCAGTTTCCTCATCTGTGAAATGGAAAAATGGGACTGGTGTTGCAGCATTTAATGGGATAATGCACGGAGAGCGCCTAACTTGGTGCAGGAGCAGGAGAAAGGCTCTATGCATATTTCGTGCTTACTGTTTCTATTCTCAGGCCTGTAGCAGGTTGAATAGTGCCTCTCTCCCCCATAAAGATATGGCCATGTCCTAACCCCTAAGGGGAATCCTTATTTGAGAAAGGAGTCTTTGCAGATGGAATTAAGTTAAAGATCTCCAGATGAGATCATCCTGGATTTGAGATGAGCCCCAAATCCAATGACAAGTGTCTCTAAGAGAGGTGAAGGGGAGAAGACATGTGAGAGGGGAATGCCCTGTGACAGTGGAGAGAGAGATCAGGGTGGTGCATTTATAAGCCAAGGAACACAAGAATTGCCAACCAGAAGCTGGGAGAGGCCTGGAACGGATTTTCCCTCAGCCTCCAGAAAGAGCCAATCCTGCTAGCACCTTGATTTGGGACTTCTGGTCTCCAAAACGGCAAAGGAATAAATTTCTGTGGTTTTGAGGCACCTGGTTTGTAGTACTTTGTTATGGCAGCCCCAGCAAAGTAATACATGACCCCAAGTAGGAACTGGTAGGAACTTATGCTTATTCTTCTCTCCAGCCCCTTAAATCACCACAGTGGGTTTTTGCCTGTTCGGTGAACACATTAAGTTTATTCCCACCACAGGGCCCTTGCATGTACTGTTCCATCTGTCAGGGATGCTCTTTCTCTAAATGACCATATTATTTAGGTGTGTCGACGTAAGAAACATTCAAACCTATAGAGATTTTTGGAAGTTCATTTGAACCAAACTGTCATCAATTGCTGGGAAGCAAGATATCAATGGATTGAGATAATGCTCCAGAGAATGGCAGTTTTGCACTTTATTTTATACATTACAATTAAAATAGGAGACGTAAGTGGGTTACATGAAATCCATTGGTGATAGATTAGGGAGGCAGGAGAAAGCAAAGTGAGGAAACCTCTGGAATTGGATAAAAAGTAAAACAATAGACACATACATCTTTTACATAGGTGGGTACAGGATAGCTAACAGTTAACAATTAACTCAGTAACAATGAGGGGATTTGTGGTCTGCGAGTGCTGCCTGTGCTTTAAGGGGTCTTGAAAAATAAAATTACTTTGACATTCCAAAGATATGTTTCATAGATGCAAAAAGATAGCAGACAGGTTCAGTTAAGGTAAAGATTGACCTTTGTCAGGGAAGATGCTGGCCTAGGACATGACTATCCACCATAACTGCTTTTAGTTAAAAAGTTTTAGTTTCAGACCATGCTTTGTGGTTACTGTGTGTGTGTGTGTGTGTGTGCGTATGGTTACTTTTGGTCTCTGAGTTTGTAAGGCCATCATGCAGGCCTCCCCTGAGCTTGTCAGGTTAGTATGAGGCCACTTTTCATCCACAGGTGTCAGCTCAGAAGTAATCTCCTCAGAGAGGTCTTACCTTATCACCTGCTACCTTGCCTCCTACTCCATCATCCTCTGTCCTATTTCTCAGTCTGATTTTTTTTTTTATCCTCACCTGAGGACATCCTTCCATTTTTTGTACAGATAGAGTGGGAGGGAGAGAGAGGAAGAGAGAGAGAGAGAGAGAGAGAGAGAGAGAGAAACATCGACGTGAAAGGGACACATCGAGTGGCTGCCACCCGCATGACCAACCAGGGCCGGGGACAAACTGCAACCGAAGTACATGCCCTTAGCGGGAACCGAACCCGGGTATCTCTGGACCGCAGGCCGATGCTCTAACCACTGAGCCAAACCGGTCAGGGCTCTCAGTCTGATTTTAAAAATATATATCCTCAAATTGTGGTACAATACATATAACATAAAATTTGCCTTTTTAACCTTTTGCAAGTAAGTATCAGTTCAGTTTCATTAAATACATCCACACTGTTGTGCAACCATACTTATTATCTAGTTCCAGAACTTTTTTTTATCACCCTAAATGGAAATCCCATCCCCATTAAACCCTCCCTCAATCCTCCTCCCCAGCCCCTGGGACCCACAGATCCACTTTCTGTCTCTGTGAAAGAAAGACATTGCACATAAATGGAATCACATACTGTGTGGCCTTTTGTGTCTGGCTTCTCTCACTGAGCTTCATGTTTTCAAGTTTCATCCACATGTAACATGTGTCAGAGCGTCACTCATTTTCATGGCTGAATAATATTCCAGTGTGTGATGGACCATGTTGTCCTTATCCATTCACCAGTGGTTGGACACTTGAATTGTTTCTACTTTTTTGGGTATTGTGATAGTGCTGCTGTCAACATGGGGGTATATGGACTTATTGAGAAACCTGATAATTTTTTTTCACAGCACTTCCCACTACTTGAAATGATTTACTTGTTTCCTTGTTTATTGTCTGACTCCCTTATTAGACTGTATGTTTCAAGGGAAATGAGACCTAGTCAGTGTTCTCTGTGCAGGGCAGCTGCATCTGGCACAAAGATGTTTGGGAAATGCAGGTGGAACATGTGAATGCTGGTTCCTGTCATGGACACCACACAACACGATCATGTGGCTGCCTCCCTCACAGTACCGGGGTATGTACCCCTCTAAGACAAAGGCATAAAGGCAACTGCCCCACAGTAGAGGGGGAGGGGAGCGCAGAGCCTCCAGCACAAGATCTGGACTTTGCATCCTTTGGCCAGAGGAAGTGGAGCTCTTGGGAAAGACCCTTGAGTTAACCGAGTGGGAAATCCGGATCAGCCCGGTGCTAGGCACTGGGGTCCGGAATGACTTTGCTTTCATAGAACTTCCATAATGAGGAACAGATAGGCAGAGATGTCCGAGCTGGTTTAGAGATGTCTTTGAAGCAGAGTGGCTTGGGGGAGGTGCATGGGAAGATTTCCCGTGGTGGTGATGATGTGAATTAGACCATGAGGATTTAATATGAGTTGGAAGGATGGAGAAGGGGGAAAAGGCATTCTGGACAGAAGGCTATTTGAAAAGCCCAGCTCCTCAGTGAGAAGGCACTGGGAGCTGTCCGTGGTGCTGCAGCAGCCTAGGAGCCCAGCATCAGACTCGACCTTGGTGCTTGTCTGGTGTATTTTAAATTGCGGTTAAAATATGCGTAACAGAAAATTTACCATTCTGATCAATTTAAGTGTAAGGTTAAGTAGCATTAATTACATTCACAATGTGCAACCATCATCACTATCCATCTCCTGAACTTTTTCATCTTCCCAAGCTAAAACTCTGTCCCTGTTAAATACTAACTCCCCATCCCATTCCCCAGTCCCCCATAATGTAAGCTTCTTGAGATCAGAGATGTTGCAGTTTGTTATTATTGAATATCTAATTCCTAGACCAGTGTTATCACTGGGAAGCGAGTCTGCTCCACCCCTCACCCCCCAGGACATTTGGCGAGGTCTGGGGACATTTGTGGTTAGCATGATTTGGGGGAGTCAAGTAATAATGACATTGAGTGGGTAGAGACCAGAGATATTGCTCAACACCCTACAATGCACAGGTCAGTCCTCCACAATGGAGAATTATCTGGACTCAAGTATCAACGGTGCCAGGGCTGAGAAACCTGCCCTAGAAGAACACCTGAAACATCGTCAGTTCTCAGTAAAGTTTGTTAAGGCATTAAAATTGTTAAACCTCTTCAAGCCTCATATTCCTGCAAAGGGGATTGATATGAGTAAATTCAACCCTCATTATTTGTCATTTTCATATTTGTGGATTTTCCCACTGGCTGAAATTTATTTATAACATTTGTAACCTGAATGAAATCAATATTCATGGTGCTTTCAGGGTCATTTGTAGGCAGCCCCGCGGGGTAAAAAAAAAAAAAAAGAGTGCATGTTCCTACCTGTTATAGAACCAGGTTATGCTCTGTCTTCTTATTCCAGTCCAGACTCTAAACATATTTCCTTTTCAGGGTTTATTTAGTGCTGTATTTTTTTTTTTGCATTTTTGTGTTTATTGGTGGTGGTCTTGCTATTTATAATGGCCTCCATGCATGGCGCTGGAGAGCTGTCTAGTATTTCTAAGCACAAGTAGGCTGGGATGTGCCTTATGGAGAAGATATGAGTATTTTTTTTTTTTTTATCCTCACCCGAGGACACTTTTTCATTCTTTGTTCAGATAGAGCAGGAGGGAGAGAGAGAGAGAGAAACATCGATGTGAAAGGGACACATCGAGTGGCTGCCACCCACACGACCAACCAGGGCCGGGGACAAACTGCAACCGAGGTACATGCCCTTAGCGGGAACCGAACCCGGGTCTCTCCGGACCGCAGGCCGACGCCTTAACCGCTGAACCAAACCGGCCAGGGCAAGATATGAGTATTATATAAGCTTTGTTCTGGCATGAGTTATAGTGCTATGGGCTTTGAGTTCAATGTCAAGGAATCACAATGTGTGT